GCAGCCCCATTCATAACCACTACACTACCAGAGCTCCTTATCAAATGATATAGGAGTCATCAAATATATCCACCTTACTGCATACTTCATTTTTTTTAAAGATCTTCTTATGCCAATTTTATTTATAAATAACCTTACTCTGATATGCAGTAAGGACCTAATTTGATATGAAGCAAAGATATTAACAGCTCTCACAAGAACATATGCTACTAAGTTTTTGAAAATTAGAAAGAATAAGATATCATGAGTTAGTTGGGATGGAGAAGGGCCCTCAATAAAATGGGTGACGCTTTTGAGGAAATTAAGAACTTACTTCTTTCAGGAGTAAGGCGTTTTTCCTCCAGTAAAATAAACACCCAATGGTGTGGCGCTGTGGGTTAATGCACCAGACTGCAAAGCTGTTTGAACTGCAAGGTCAGTGGTTCAGGCTCACCAGTTACTCCTCAGAAACCATATACAGGGTTGCTGTGGGTCAGAACTGACTTGACGGCACTTAACAACATCACAAACCTAAAGTAATATGTGAGTATTTATATTTTCATACACTGGACAACGAAGTTATATTACTTAAACATGACGTCTCTTTAAAAGTGAAACCTTTTATTCAGAGAAAAAGTAGCCAGGCATCATGTCAGCATAATGTTTTTAGTTTTTAAATGGATTTTTCTTAGAAATCTTATTTTTTTCTGTTATTTGCAAAGTCTTGTTTTTTTGTGCATAATATGGTTTAGTAGTAAAATATTTTGACTGGTGCATTTTGCCACAAAATTTTTAATTGTACTTTTTAAATACCTAAAGAATTAAAGAAATGTAAATCACTAATGCATTAGTAAGTAGCGATTTTTAAAGTTATGGATACTATTTTAAAAATTAAGGAACTAAAAATTATGGAGTTGAAAAGTACAATAAATGGAAGGTCTCAACATCAGGTTTAAGATGACCTAAGACTATCCTGGCATGGCACTGTGGGTTACTGTGCTGGACTGCAAGGTCGGTTTGAACTGCAACGTTGTGGTTCAAACTCACCAGCCGTTCCTCGGAAACCCTATACAGGGTTGCTATGAGTCAGAAGGCACTTAACAACAAGAAAGATTCAGCAACAAGACAGAACCTGAAAAAAGATTTATTGAGATTAATCAGTCAGTCTGAAGACCAGAGCGAAGAAGATTGAAGAAAAATAATTAAAGCTCAGAGGCCTGTGGGACAGCATCTCACATAACATGTATAATTGCATCAAAAAGGAGAAGAGAGAAAAAGGCACAAAAATAAACAATGGCTAAAAACTTTGCAAATTTGATGAAAAGCATTAATTTACACATCAAAGAAGCCCAATAAACCTCAAGTAGGAAATGCAAAGAGACCCATACATACACACAAACTACACAAACTTTTAAAAGCTAAAGACAGAGAAAGTCTTGAAAATATCAACACTATGACATAGAACATCAACTTCTAATTTTAGGGAGTGGAGGCTGGAAGGCAGTGGAATGGCATAGTCAGAATGCTGAAAGGGAGGGAAAAAAATGCCTGCCAACCAAGAATTTTAAATCTAGTAAAACTATCCTTAAAAAAATGTTGACAAAATAAAGACATTTTCAGTAAACAAAGAATGAGAGAATAAATTGCTAGAAGACATGCTTTATAAGAACTACTTCCACCTTAAAGAAAATCGCTCTAGATGATAAGTTATTTCACAGGCAGAAATGAGTAATGGAAATGATAAATATGTGGTTTAATAGGAAATGTGTATCATTTTCTAATTTCTTATATAAAAGGCATAATGTATATTATAGGATTTATAACATGTACAGATGTAATATATGTGACCAGAAGACAAGAGAGGACCATAATAAAAATACTGGAATAATGTTCCTCTATTTTATCAGAAATAACATAAAGTACTTTGTGATAAGGTAAATACACTTTTTTAATCCAAGAGCAGTTACTACAAAACAATAAATTTTAAAAATGAACTACGTTTGTTGATTGCCGTTGACTGGATTCCAACTCATAGTGACCCTGTATAGGGTTTTCGAGAAGAGGCTGGTGAGTTTGAACTGCCAACATTGCTATTCACACTAACTTTCAGTCCAGTGCTTATCCTACAGAGCCATACCAGAATTCTAGGAAACAAATAGTAAATGAAAAATTCTACCGTATCAGTAATTATATTCAATGTGAAAGATCTAAATGCCCCAATCAAACTATTGAGATTACCGGACTGGATAAAGAAAGTAAGATTGAGTTGTATATTGTCTATAAGCAACACATTTGAGATTCAAAGACACAAATAGGTTGAAAGCAAAGCAGTAGGGAAAGACAACACTATTTCATGATGATAATGTGGTCAGTATATCAAGAAGACTGCCATCAAGTCAATTCCAACTCACGTGGGACCCTATAAGACAGAGTAGAACTGCCCCTTAGGGTTTCCAAGTCGTTAGGGAAGAAGGCAGTTGTGGTTAGCAGCACAACACTTAACCCACTGCCGTTTAAGTATGGGCAGTTTATTGTATGCCTATTAAAGCTCAGTAAAACTGTTTAGAAATCTCTATTCATGTTCTCCCCACTTAGGCTCATTTTATAAACCTTTCATATACTTTTTATCTGGGGAGCACTGTGGTCCCATAGAATAAACACTGGACTGCAAACCACAGAAAGATGAGACTTTTGTTCTCGCAAAGATTTAAGGTCTTGGAAGCCCTATATATGGTGGCTATGAGTCTGAACCGACTCCACAGCACTTAATAATAACAACACCACCACTTTTTTCTATATAGAGCTAAAGGGAAAGGAACTAGGAATTGACTTTATTGGTTTTGTTCCTATTATCTTTAAACCCTTTTATTTAAAGTATGTTGTTTTTTAAGTGCTGTCAAGTCAGTTCCAACTCATAGAGACCCAGTATAGGATTGTTGAGGCTGTAAATCTTTATGGGAGCAGAAAACCTCATCTTTCTTCTACAGAATGACTGGTGGGCTTGGACCACTGACTTTGTGAGAATCCAGTGCTTATCCCACAGAGCCACTGTGCTCTGTAGGATAATAAAAGATAAAGGAGAAAAAAAGATAATAAAAGTTATCCCATACAAGACAGTCTAGTGAATCCTAACAAGGGGGTCTAAAGTGGTATGGTATGTAAGAGGGAGAGAAATCAAAGGAGATAAGGGAAGGTTACATGGAGGCAACAGCACTAAGAAGCACTTTGAAGAATTTATTGATTATTTTGAACATTTCATATCCATGGTCTCATACAATATGTAGCCTTTTGTGTCTAGATTCTTTCCCTTGAACATACTGTTTTTAAGACTTACCCATGTTGTAGCGTTAATCCATACTTCAGTCTTTTTTATGGCTGAATTGAGTCCATTGATTTAAACTGTGGAACGAGCATTAACTAGTATTTATGCTGAAGTTTTTCTAAGGCAAAAATCAATACTCACATTAAGAAGGCAATGTTGCTGTCCTAGTAGGTTTCCTAATTTGTTTTGTCATTTGATAAATACAGCCTTAATTTCCATGTTGGCTCCAAATGCTAAACTTTGAACTCATAATTATAGTGTTTACCTTTTTAAAGAAGTGGAAGGAAAGAAATGAATTATTTTTAATGTTTCTGCAGGCAACCCCCACATTGCTTAGAAGATTTGGATCTCAGCTTATCAAGTCAGCTGTTTTATCAGCTAGTACTTCTCTTCGAGTACTAGCTCTCGGTGGCGAAGCATTTCCATCATTGACTGTTCTCAAAACCTGGAGAGAAGAAGGCAATGAAACACAAATATTTAATATCTATGGCATCACAGAGGTTTCAAGTTGGGCGACCTTTTATAGGATTCCAGAGAGGATTCTTAACTCTACTTTGAAGTAAGGATTTGCAGTTATACAAAGTAGAGTTGAGAAAAAGTAGATCTTTTTAGGACCTTAAAAATAATCATGGTTTGATAGGTTAATTTTAGAAACATTATTTTACCTAGTATGCTAAAAGGTGAAATCCAGTCTTTCTTACTGTAATTGGTGGTGAGGTGCTACAAATCCTGTTGGAACTTCTTGTGATTAAACCAAACCCAAAACCTTGTCATCTAGTCAATTCTGACTCATAGTTACCCTGTATAGGATTTCCAAGACTGTAAATCTTTCTGGGAACAGATGTTGTTGTTGTTAGGTGCCATTGTGTCGGTACCGACTCATGGCGACTTTATACATGGCAGAATGAAACACTGCCTCATCCTGGGTCAACCTCACTATCATTGCCACACTTGAGCCCATTGATGCTGCCACTTTGCCAATCCATCGCATTTTGAGTGCCTTCCAACCTGTGGGGCTCATTTCCTGGCACTATATCTGACAGTGTTTCTCTGCTATTCATAAGGTTTTAGTGACTAAGTATTCGGAAATAGTTCATCACTCCTTCTTCCTAGTCTGTCTTTGTCTGGAAGCTCATCTGAAATCTGTCTACCATGGTTGACCCTGCTGGTATTTAAAATACCAGTGGCATAGATTTCAGAATCACAGCAACTCACAAGCCACCACAGTACGACATACCTCTTCTTGGCAGTCTTTAAATTGTAGCATAGCAGAAACTTCCTTTTTTTTCCCTTTATTTGGTAGAATTTGACTTAAATTCTTAAATATATTTAAAGATATTCTGTTTAGATGAAGAAATTTAAACCTGGTTTGGGTTGTTTTTCATAGATGTGAATTGCCTGTGCCACTGGGATCTCCACTGCTTGGAACAGTAGTTGAAGTCAGAGACTCTGATGGCTTCCCAGTTCAAGAAGGCAACGGCCAACTGTTTTTAGGTGGTTTGAACATTCGTTGAATGGGGATTTTTCTTTTTTTTTTTTCCACCAGGAAAAAAATATCTGATGTGTTAATTTTATTCTTTTCCTGATCCCACTTGTGTCCAGTATTTTCTTCAGTTATGATTATTTTTATTTAACCTTATTTTACTTAACCATAGTCATGAAACATTGTATTTTAGTGAATTTTTATAAATATTTCAGATAAAAATGGAAATACTCAAAGGAAAGGTATAAAAGAAATTTAGAAGTTGTTACTTGCACCTTTTTACTTATAGAGAAAATTCTGTTTAATCTATTTATGAACTTTTAAGAAAGCATATATGGATTTCTAGAAGTAAATTTTGTTTTCTCATTTGCTGCCATTTTTTGTACCAAATTGTTTCAGATAAAGTTTAAAAGTTAGCTCCCCCTTTTAAAATATTCTTAGTATAAGACTTAGCTTTGATGTCTCTTGTCATAGATCTGAACTTTTAGGGATAGTCTTGATTTAATCGACTTTAATGTATTTTCCATGGATTTTTTTTTATCATGTTGGTGTTTTTATATTGTGAAGGTGGTAGAAACCGAGTTTGTTTTCTTGATGATGAAATGACAGTACCACTTGGCACAATGCGAGCCACAGGAGACTTTGTGACTGTGAAAGATGGAGAGATATTTTTTAGTGGCCGAAAGGACAGTCAGATCAAACGCCACGGCAAACGTCTTAATGTGGAGCTTGTGCAACAGGTAGCGTTGTTTACATATTAAATATCCATCAATATGTGTAGGTATTGGAGGGAGCCTCCCACCAGTTTTCTGTGCTGAGGTTCTCCACCATACTATCTAAGCCCAACATCTTTGTATTGTAATAAATGTCCATAAAAGCTTTGGATAATTCAGTGTGTCCCTTATCCTAGCATGAAGAGAGGGTTGTGTTTTAAATGAGTGACAAAACAGTCTTTCATAATACAAAAATAAATTTGATTTATTTTGCTTTAGAGCTATTGTTTTTGAAAAATATTAAGAATCGTGTGTGCTAGTAACTGTTTTGTGTGCGGTTGAGTTGATTCTGACTCAGCAACCCTGTATACTTGCTTCCAAAGCTATAAATCTTTTGGGAGCAGAAAGTTGCATCTGCTGTGTCTGGAGTGATTGGTAGATTCAAACTGCTGACCCCGTGCTTAGCAGCCCAGCTTGTAAGCCATTGTACTACCAGCTTTCCTGCTAATAACTGTAGCAAACGTAAAGAAATTTTTTAGTATATTCCAAAAGTTGATTTGATTGTATTAATTTCTAGCATGATAAGATTGAGCATGTAACAAGCTTATTTTCAAATTTCCCCTAATAAATTGGGATGCTCTCTCTCACAGGTAGCTGAAGGGCTACCGCAAGTGGAATCATGTGCAGTTACATGGTATAATCAGGAAAAACTAATTCTTTTCATGGTGTCCAAAGAAGAGTTAGTAAAGGATTACATCTTTAAAGAACTTCAGAAACATCTTCCAAATCATGCAATACCAGATGAGCTTGTGTTGATTGATTCTCTACCATTTACATCTCATGGTAAACTCATTTAAAGCTGATATGTTTCAGTGCCACGTAATACTGTTTATGTTCTAGAATAAAATTTAATTGCCATTTGTATCTTTATTAATGTATAAATGTTAACGAATGTATTTATTTATTGTGAATTTGTAGTCATCAAGTGCCATTGAGTCGATTCCAAACCATAGCGACCCTCTATAGGATTTCCAAGGAGCAGGAATCTAGTGGACGGCATTTAATAACACTGTATTCATTGTGATATGGTGGTGTTAAATGCTGTCGAGTCAGTTCTGACTCACAGCGACCCTTACAGGGTGTGTCTGAGTACTGGCTGGTGGCTTTGCAGTCCCATACTTGGCCTAGGCTTTATATAATTAACTCATTTTATCTTTAAAAAATCCTGTGAGTAAATGGTATTAATTTCTGTTTATAGATGAGGAAATTAAGACTTGTTGTTGTTAAGTGCCTTCGAGTTGGCTCCGACTCTTAGTGACCCTGTATAGGGTTTCTGAGGAGTGGCTGGTGAATTTGAACTGCTGACCTTGCGGTTCAAACCAACCTTTTGGTCCAGTGCATTATCTCACAGTGCCACACCAAGACTTAGCTTCCCCAAACCACCTTGCTAGGTAGTAATAGAGTTAAAATTCTTTTTGAACTGTTTGACTTCAAATTTTATGTACTTAATTATCTATTACCTTCTGGTTTTCATCTTTATTTGTTTTAGTTACTTCTAAATGCAGTAAGGAGTCCTGGTGTGGTGTTTTGGGTTAATGCGCCAGACTGCAAAGCCGTTTAAACTGCAAGGTTGGCGGTTCAAGCTTACCAGCTGCTCCTCAGAAATCCTATACAGGACCAACAACAAATGCAGTAATTGCTCAGTTAATAATGCCATATCTTTAGCCTTTTAAATGAGATAACATTAATTTCTCCCTCCCTTTTACTTAGTTATTATTTGCTACATTTTTGGTAGCATGGGATTGCTTTTATGTAGAATTGATTGTCTGTAATAAATTAGTAAATCTAAGCTTTAAAATAAAAAATATTTGTATTCTTGTGACTAGTGAAGATATCAAGGCTTTGAGCTAAAATTGAAAAGTAATTTTTCTTTTATGTTAAGGCAAAATTGATGTTTTGGAGTTAAACAAGATTTATTTAAACTACGTGAACTTGAAGTCTGATTGTAAGCTCAATGGAAAAGAGGAACTTTGGGGAAAATTACTGTATTTGTGGAAGGTACAATTTTTAAGATATAGATTTGTGATTGTAGAGAAATCATTTGATATCTTTAGAAAACAAAATGTCCCATGTAAATTTGTTACATTTTTCTAAGAATTTTACTATGTGCAGATGGTCAGTGACATTGCATCAACTTAAATTAAAATAAGTATTTCATTCTCTGTTGTTAAGACTGTATTAAGCTCCTGATAAAGACATTAAAAGTGGGGTACTTCTAAAAGGCATGAGAAGATAAAGCCTGCGTTGGCCTAGGTTTTCCCAAGAGGGCCAGTGAAGTGCAGTGACACTCTTCTCAGGAGTAAGGAAGTAGCCAACCCTTGCTGTACCACAGTCTGCCCTGTGTAAGGATTTACATCGTCATTCCATAAGAACATTCAGTGATAACATGCATGCTTCTGCTGCAAGAAATTTTTTTTTTTTTCTTAAATGTTTTATTGTGAATTATGTGATAGTTTACATGGGAGAAAATTAGTTTTGCATTGCAAGAAATTTTTACAGCCACCTGGGCTTCCCTGTTTTCAGATGAGATCTTCATTGGCAAGACCCTGCCCCTTGTTTAGATGGGAGAAAGCAGAGTAATGCTCAAGAACCCATGAATGATCTCTCTGCTGTCAGCTCTAGCATTCTGGAAGTCTGTTTTCCTTCCATTGTCAAAAAGAAAGCTTAGTGGTTTTCATGAACTGACTAAAGTAATTCTTAGCTTTTGTAGTCAGAGAAATAAATTGAACTTAATTTTTGACCTACTTAAATAGTGTATCCCAACAGATATGTACATTGCTCTATTTTCAAAGGTCGTCTGTAACTTTAAGTACACATATTACTTCCATAAGCCAATATCTTATAAAAATAACACGTGAAATTTTATAAATGGTTCTAAAAAAGAGGGTATAATTATATAATTTTGTCTGAAAATGGGAGATATTTAGATTAAAGTTTCAGAACTTCACTTCCTTTTTAGATTCTTCGGTAATAATTTTGATTTATGTGACGGAGACAAAGAAAAATATTATTCCCATATTATAGAAATACCAGATATTAGTATCTTGTGGCTGTGTAATTAGTAGATCTGATTTTTTATAATTCCATTCTCTGCTTTATGGGTTGTTGTTGTTAAGTGCAGAAAACTGATTTAAGGGGAAGTACATTTTGCATTTAAGGAGCTCTGGCAGCATAGTGCTTACGAATCGGGCTGCGAACTGCAAGGTCAGCAGTTTGAAACTACCAGCTGCTCTGTTGGAGAAAGATAGGCTTTCTGCTCCCGTAAAGATTTACAGTCTTGGAAACCCTGTTCAGGCTCGCTATGGGTCAGAACCAACTCTATGGCACTTAACAACAACAACATTTTGCATTTATAAAGTAAGTTTGTGACAGAATTTTAGCATAGTGGTGGTAGTCTTTTTTGGTATCAAAGACAATAGTTTGAAAATTTATTTTAATTATTTAAAATACTTATTTTGCATGCCTTATGCACATGTGCTTGAGGTGGGAACAACCATCTCTCTACATGGCCTGTATATACTTACTGAAGTCTTTAGGTCTCTACTTCACCATCTTTTTCTCTTCTCTCATCTGTAGTCTATTCTGAGTCTTTCAGAAGATCCTTTGACGATTCCAAAAGAGTCATTCTTCTTACATGGTGGTGGAGATTCCTTAAAGTCTGTCCGGCTCCTCAATGAGATTGAGAATCTGGTTGGTGCATCAGTACCCGGGCTTCTGGAAATTATTCTCAGCTGTTCCCTATTAGAGATTTATAATCACATCCTTCAAACAGTGTTTACTGATGAAGAAGACCTACCACTCAGCAAGAGTTACGGCACAAAACGAAAATTCAGTGGCACTCATCAAGAGGAGTCCAGTGGAAAATATCTGCACCAGAACCCGGATAAGCTTTTAGATTGTGATAGTGCTTTCATTGCACTGAACAGAGGGAGTCAGATTTTATGTCTGGGAACTACCAAGGCAGAACTTCACTCTTCTTCCTCTTCTTCGGGTCTGATTTCACAGGTTGATACTCAAGATGTGCAAAGCATAAATACCCCTCCTTATAGTGAGAAGTCAAAGAAGCCATCTAGTGTTGCAGAAATTTCTGAAAAGGAGAAACTGGAGCTACGTGTGAGGTGGAGGTCAGACACAGGCAAATGTGTAGACGCTTCACCTCTGGTGATAATACCAGCTGTGGACAAGTCATCTGCAACTGTGTACATTGGCTCCCATTCTCATAGAATGATGGCTGTTGACCTTTATTCTGGGAAGGTGAAATGGGAACAGATTTTAGGAGATCGAATTGAATCCTCAGCATGTGTATCTAATTGTGGAAACTTTATTGTAGTGGGTAAGTTTCTGAGTTTGAGGTTTGTAGACTTAAACTGAATTACCCTTGTATGGTGCTGTAGGATAAGCATTGGGCTGGGAACCACAAGGTCAGCAGTTCACACCCACTAGCAGCACTAAGAAACCCTCTGTAGGGTTGCTATGAGTTAGAACCAACTCAATGGCATAAAATAACAACAATAATCATATAATAATGATTCTAGGGCAAGTTAAATGAAAACACTGGTGTATCCTGGGTTCACTTGCTATTGAGTAATAACAGCCTCATAATTTAGTTGTTAACAGCAGTCTTTGGAACTGGACTCAAATCCTGGCTCTGTTATATATTAATTATGTAGTTTTGCTCTGGTAATCTGTTTCAGTTTCATGGTCTGTAAAATGGAGATGAGAATAGTTTTTTGCCTCACTATAAGGACACAAGTTAATAGATTTCAAATACTTCGGGTGGTATATGATACACAGCAGTAGCTTAGTAAACTTTGTTAGCTGTTGTTGACATTAGCATTTACTGAACATCTGTGCACTGGGCATTTATCCACATTATCTTAATTCCTGCAATAACCACTGAAGTCGATCTGTCTACATTCTACAGAAGAATAAACTGAGGCTCAGTTTGGTAAAGATGACCGTAATGAGATTTGAGCCCAGGTTTGTCAAAACCTCTTTCCACTGTAGCATTCTTCATTGTTTCCTTATAATAAAGCACTTTATTAGTACTTTTCAAAAATAAGGTATAATATCAAATAAGTAGGCATTTTACACTAGTGATTATTGTTCAGTTTCTGCTCTATATTCCTGACATTTAAATAAAATGAGCTGAACATAGAGCCCGATTCTACTTGTAGAGCATTAAATATCAATTGTCATGATATGAATTGTTTTTCAGTGACATTCGTAAATACCATCTTTTATATTTAATTTTCTTACAGGCTGTTATAATGGGTCAGTTTATGTTCTAAGAAGTAGTAGTGGAGAAAAATACTGGATATTTACCACTCAGGATGCCGTCAAAAGCTCTGCAACCATGGATCCAACCACAGGACTCCTGTACATCGGTTCTCATGACCAGCATGCATATGCTTTGGATATTTATGTAAGAATTCACCTCCTCAGTCTCCCCTACCATAAGTAGAGGAGCATGTGAAACTGTCAGAGCAGGTGCTGACTAAGTTTAGTGATGTGCTCTGAGAAGAATAAGGGGTTTATTAATAGTCTTCATATCTTAAGAACATTTTCACTTTCTTATTAAATTTTCCATAGATAAATTTCCTACTCAGAGTTTTGAAATATAAAGAGTATAAAGTCATCGTCTTGACAGTAGGAAAAGAAAAAGAAAATATTAATAAGGACTCATTACATAAAAATAAAGAAAAATTATGTGAGAAAGATTATAAAATTAAAACAAACAGATTAGAAAAAATCTTTGGAATTAATGTGAATGAAAGTTAAAATTCATAAGTACAAATAAAAATTAAGAGCATGTACAAATAAGAAAAATCTCAAGATCCAGAGAGAAAAACAAGGAGCATAAGCACACAGATCCCCAAAGAAGAAATGGCTAGCAAATTAATATGTTATGCTTTAAGGTCAAAGGAATGAAAAAGTGAGACAAACATTAGATTAGAAAAGAAACTCAGAATGCTTCAAGCATGCTTAGAAGAGTGGGGAGAGGTAGTAACTCATAGAGCCTCTGAGAAAAATGGTTGGGCATTAGGTAAAAAATTTGTGTACTTTGATCTAGTAAAATTCCTCTTCTAGGAATCTATCCTGACAAAAATAATCAAAAACATAGACAAATATGTATATGAAGATGTCTATTTTCAATTTAAAATAACATAAAATGAGATCTTAATAATGTTCAGTAGAGTAATTATATTATGTTCATATGAAATATATGCAATAAAATTATATTTTTAAGTTTTATAAAATAAGTGAACCACAAAAGATACCAAGTTGTATATTCAGAACAATATCAGCCATGTTAAATTGTGTGTATATGTGCCAAAAATACCATAAGAGAAAATGCTAAAATTTCAACAGTGGTTATCTCTAAGTGGAGACTACGTCTTCTACACTGATATCTGCAATGTGCAGGTAGTACTTTTATATTAAAAATTAAATGTTATAATAAGTAGAAGATATGGATTTAGTAACTATCAGTCCAAAATAATTAATTTGCTTTTCTCTTGCAGAAAAAGACATGTGTCTGGAAGTTAAAATGTGGAGGAACTGTTTTTTCTTCTCCATGTTTGAACCTGATCCCGTATCACGTATATTTTGCTACACTGGGAGGACTTTTACTGGCTATAAATCCCGTAGGCATAAACTAATATATTGTACTGATTTTATTGCCTATTTTTTCGTTAATATGTTGTTATTTTTTGTTTGATTTCTGAGTGCACAAGGTAGTTTTCAGTTAGGTATGAAGTCTCTGGGTCAAACAGTTAACGTGTTCAGCTGCTAACCAAAAGGCTGGCATTTCAAGTCCACCCAGAGGATGCTCCCCAGAAGAAAGGACTTATGATCTACTTCCAAAAAATTAGCCATTAAAAACGCTATGAAGTGCAGTTCTACTTTGATATGCAGGAGGTTTCCCTAAGTTGGGATCGACCAGTGACAGTTGGTACTGGTACTATCAGATCTAGACCAGCTATAAATGAAATGTAATTCATTAAAAATAATTGAAATGAAATTTAGAAAGAAAATAATCTGAATTTCCATGCACATCTTTTATCTATTTTTTAAATTGGCAGAATTGAAAAACAAATCTGTTCGTATTAAGAACTTCACTTTCATCCTAAGGACAGATCTTGTGTGTTAGTTATTTCCTTTGTTTAAATTGCAAGTTTTTATCCTTGCTTTTACTAATGGTGTTGGTGGTGGTTATGTGCCACTGAGTCGATGTCGACACATAGCAATCTTGCATAGGGCTTCCAAGGCTGTAAATCTTTACAGGAGCAGAAAACCTCATCTTTCTCTCTTGGAGTGACTGGTAGATACCTTGCTGTTAGCAGTCTAGCTGGTAATCCACTACGCTGCCAGGGCTCCTTAGCTCTTACGAATTATTGTTGTTGTTAAGTACTGAGGATTGATATTTGCAATTCATTTTACAGCTGTGTGTAAGTGCACTAGCTTCGTTATGTGTGATAGCTCCATTTATAATGTCCAGCATGCCGTTATAGCATTTTTGAATGTTTATAGCTCTGCCTTTGGAAGATGTATGTATGCATTTGTTTATAAAGGGGTAACTAATAGGTAGAATGATATCACATCCTGTGAATTACTTTTTTCCTATGACAGGCTACTGGAGACAGAGTTTGGAAACGCTTCTGTGGAAAACCTCTCTTCTCTTCTCCACGGTGTGGTCTACAGTACGTTTGTATTGGCTGTGTAGATGGGAATTTACTCTGCTTTACTCATTTTGGAGAACAGGTGAAAATTTCTAGTTGCTTTGCATCTCTTTTTCAAAGGCATAGTAGTGAATGACAACTATGAGTAAAATTTTAAACATCGTTATTCAATTCTTTATGTTGAGAACTAGTTCTGTTTCGTCAAGCTCTAAGTTTCTTCATTTTTAAATGCTTTAGTAGATTTAAAGGAGCCCTGGTGGCGCTGTAGGACAGGCACTGGACTGTTGTCTACAAGCTCTGCAGTTCAAAACCACCAGCTGCTCTGTGGGAGAAGATAAGGCTTATTACTCCCATAAAGATTTACCGCCTTGGAAACCTTACATAGAGACACTAGGAGTTGTAATCAACTCGATGACAGTAAGTTTGGGGTTGGGCTTACTAGGTTTAAGAATTTTTATACAAACATTGTTACACTACTTTGCCAGCCTCATCTTTCAAATTTTAAAACATTGCCAGTTTTTAAAATATTTAATTTCTATTAAGGTATGGATGTTTAAAGAAAGCCTTGCTTTTTAATACGAAAACCAAAATCTGTTATGCAACCAAATGTTCATGATTTTTGCTCTAGTTGCTCAACTTAATGACTGACAGGATACGTTCCTTCTTGGTTGTTTTGGATCTTAGGTTTTAGACCTTGGTCATTTTAGATCTCCACTTCTTTGATTCCCCACAAATGACTGTCACTCTTGGCCCAGTGTTAGCTGAGCACTTGATTTGGGGGGTTCTTTGTATGGCTTTGAGAGTGCTAACTCTAACATAAGTTAGTCTATTTAAGATCAGTATTGATTCAGTTGACCTGGATGCTTTTTATTCTACATTTGCTCCTTATAGCCTTAATAGTTCCTCTTGCTCTGTATGAGAATTTCTTTTGTGATGAAATCTTTTATTATAGTCACTTAATATTTTTATTTACAAGGGAGTTGAAATGTATTCTGACCATTACATTCCTGACAAGTGAGAGCTAATAGTATTACAACTAGTTTTTTGGATGAGTCATAGAAATACTAGAGGTATTGTTCAAGTCAGGGACAGACTTGAGACTGTTGTTGTTAAGTGCCTTTGAGGCATTCTGACCCATAGCGACCCTGTATAGGATTTCCAAGGAGTGGCTGATGAACCTGAACCACCGACCTTGTGATTCAAACTGACCTTGCAGTCCAGCACATTAACCCACAGTGCCATACCAGGACGACAGCACCACATCAGACTTGAGATTACGGATTCTGTTTTATGCATATGTCCACTGTTTTGTTTTACTTTTCATTATGCCACTGTTACTGTTGAAAAGTAAATACTACCGTACACTTTGAAGTTGTCAAAGACTTCATTTTGCAACGGTCCACAATCAACACTCTTGGAAACAGTAGTCAAGAAATCAAATGAGTATTGCATTAGGCAAATCTGCACAAAGCCTCTTTAAAGTGTTCAAGAGCAAAGTTGTCAGTTTGAGGACTAACGTGTGCCTGTCCTAAGCCATGGTATTTTCAGTAGCCTAATATATATGATTGAAGTTGTCAAGGACTTCATTCTTCTTGGATCAACTATCAACAGTCACAGAAGCAGCAGTCAAGAGATCAGACAACGTATTACATTAGGCAAATCTGCTGCACAGGAACTTTTTAAAGCATTGAAGAGCAAAGATATCACCTTGAGGACTAAGGTACGCCTGACCCAAGCCATGGTATTTTCAATAGCCTCATATGGATGCGAAAGCTGGACAGTGAATAAGGAAGATCATAGAAGAATTGATGCTTTTGAGTTGTGGTGTTGGAGGAGAATACTGAAAGTGCCATGGACTGCCAAAAGAACCATTCTGTTTTGGAAGAAGTGCAGCCAGAGTGCTCCTTGGAGGCCGAGAGGCTAAGCTTCATCTCTCATATTTTGGACATATTGTCAGGAGAGAACAGTCGCTGGAGAAGGATGTCATGCTGGGTAAGATGGACGGTCAGAGAAAAAGAGGAAGACCCCCAACGAGATGGATCGGCCAGGTGGCATCATCGATAGCATCAAGTGTGACAGTGGTAGTGAGGTTGGCCCAGGATCGGACATTGTTTCGTTCTGCTGTGCATGGGGTCACTATGAGTCGGTTCTGACTCGGTGGCACCTGACAACAATATATATGTGAAATTGGAACAAATGAATAAGAAAGACTGTAGAAGAATTGATGGATTTGAATTATGTTGTTGGAGAAGAATAGTAAAATATTCATAGGCTGCCAGTAGAACAAACAACTCTGTATGAGAAGTGCAGCCAGAGTGCTCCTTGGAAGCCAGGATAGCGAGACTTCGTCTTTTATACTTTAGACATTTTGTCAGGAGGGACCAGTCCCTGGAAAAGAACATCATGCTAGGTAAAGTGGAGGGTCAGTGAAGAAGAGATAGATCCCCCAAAAGAGAAACGGACACAGTGGCAGCAATGGGCTGAAATGGAACAATTGTGAGGATGGCATAGGACCAGAGAGTGTTTTGTACTGTTGTGTATGAAGTTGTGAGTGGGAACCGCCTTCATGGCACCCAACACCACTTCCTTATGTTTTTCTTTTCTTTCTTGTTTCTGTTTTTTAAAAATTTGGCCAAAAGATCTCATAATAGCTTTGAAATGACCAGTATTTGTCTTCAGGGCAGATTCAAGAGTCATAGCTTTGTTTCATCTAATTAAATGTTATTCTTAATAAGGGTTGTCGAGTCCGTTCCGACTCATCACGGCCCTGTATAGAGTTTTCTGAGGCTGTGAATCTTTGTAGGAGCAGGAAGCCTAATCTTTCTCCTGAGGAGCAGCTGCTGGACTCAAATTGCAGCAGTTTACTGTTTGTTGTACAGAGTCACCATGTTCCCCCTTATTAAATGTTGCACATAAACCCTTCCTTTCAGTTCATTTATTCCTTTCCCCACATCAAGAGATCTGTTTTTAATAAGGTACATCACAACTCAATGTTGTTTTATCTGTGTGCTCAGTGTTCCTGTAACTTGCTGGTGATAGCTGTTGAGTTTCAGGAGTATAAAAGTCACTTACTTTGTACTAGTACATAGCAAAGAGCCATGCAATGACTTGTTAGGGCATTTTGTCATGGAGTTTACCACTAGGACACAAATCTGACCTGAGGATGCTACTTTTCAGAGAAACCATGATTTGTGTGCTGGTGCTATTAACTGCTGTCAAGTCGGTTCTGATTCTTAGGGACTCTGTAGGGTTTCTCCATACATCTTTATTTATTTATTTTTTTAATGTTTTATTATTTACATGGGAGAACATTAGCTTTACATTCATTCTATTGTATATTGTTTCATTGCCATGGTTACAATCCC